CTGGCCCGCCTTCACTTAGGGCGGGCACGAGGCTTGCTGGGGCCTTAGCCCAGAACATGTACATCATGGCAAGGCCCCTACTTGAGGGCTCAATCCTCACATTCCATCCCCCTTAGCTTCGAAAGTCCGCTGAGATGCTTACTTCGCAGGTGCCTTCCCTTTCAGCAGCCTCTCATATTCTGCCACCACCTGAGGAGCTGTGTCAATCAGTTCCTCTCTGGTAAACCACTGGTCTTCCTTTGGATCCGTATGATGCCTGAATCTGACGCGATATTCTCTCTTGGGCTTAGGGGGTCTTCCTCTACCCAATGGCTTTTGAACAGGCAGATCTCTGTGATCCACAATGTYGTCGATGTCCACTTGACCATCCATGGTTGGGGGCAACATCGATCTCCTTGAAGGGAATTGATCAGTCTCAGCGAAAGGTGCAAGCTTTGAGGCATGAAAGACAGGGTGAGTGCGTAGATGTCCAGGGATACAGATAACATAGGTAGGACCATCCATCTCATCCCCCACTACATCCAGAACTTCCCAAGGACCAAAGTACTGAGGCATTAGTTTTCTAGAGATACCGAATTCCTGTCGTAGCTCACTAGCCTTGACCTAGACACGTTCCCCTACCTGAAATGAGGACTGTCGTCGATGCTTGTTCTCAGAAGCAATCATTGCTTGCTGAGCTTTCTTAATATGCTCGACAGCTTGCTGCAGCAACTTTTCATACTGCACACCATACTCAAGTGTGCCTGGAGTTGCAGAGGATCGGTTTTCAGTTAGGAGGAAGTCTAGAGCAGATCTAGGCTTCCATCCCAAGTGCAGCTGATTAGGACTAACGCCGATACCGTTGTGTGCAGCGTTGTTGTACAGGCTGGCGATGAGAGGGAACTTCTCATCCCAATCATCCTGGCTGGGCTTGATGTAATGCCTCAGCAACTGCTGTACAACTCTGTTCATTTGGTCGGCCTGTCCGTTGGCTTCGGGATGATTCCCTGAAGTCATCTGAAGTTGACTGCCCATTTGTTCAGGTGTCTTCTTCCACAGCTCACTTGTGAATCGGACATCTATGTCCTAACGATCGACTTCGGAAGTCGAAAATCACGCACCCAGTTGTCCATGAACAACTTGATAACGTGGTCAGTCCTTGCGGTTTCTGGCATGGCAACTAGTCTAGCGTACTTGGTGAATCGATCAATGATGACGAAGATGTGCCGCTTGCCACTCTTGCTGGTCACCAGGGTATCCATGAAATCCATGGAAACACTCTGTCCTGGACCAGCAGGCATAGGTAAGGGCTTCAACAACCCAAGCGGTGCTTGAGTTCGCGGCTTGTCCCGCTGACAGACTTGACAGGTCTCTACATACTTCTTCGCGTCATCTAGCATTCCAGGTTACCAAAATCGTTGAACTAGATTAGCACTCGTCTTCTTGTAGCCGAAGTGTCCGGTTGCGTCATGGCATTCTCCTAAAAACAAACTACGCAAATGTTCACTAGATGGAACTACTAGTCTTTTTACACCGGCCTTATCAAGATAGAGTAACCCGTCCACCATCACAAACTCACTTTCCGTGGCCTTGTCTTTTGCCTGAAGTTTGCACATGATGTCCATCATGACAGGGTCTTCCTGATAGGCTCCCACCAATGATTGAGTTACTTCTTCAGATACACCAAAGTAAGAAACTAGCGCACCTAGGTAGTCTGCTCTACGGGATAGCGCGTCTGCAACCTTGTTGTACTCTCCCTTCAGATGCTCAAGCTTAAAGTCATATTGATCTATGACCTCAATCCATCGCTTGAGTGCGTCAAAAAGAGCCGGTTGAGTCTTGATTTATTTGAGGGTCTGATGATCAGTCCTCAAGTAGAAGAACCTTCCAATAGGAAGTGTCTCCAATGGACAAGTGCCTTGTAGAGAGCATAGAGTTCTCTTTCGTAGGTGGACTTCGCCAGTTTTTTCGATGGCATCTTCTTACTCATGTACTCAATCGGTCTCAACTTTTTCCCATCCTGTTGAGCGACCACTGCGCCAATGCCGTATTGGCTTGCGTCAGTGGTCACTATGAATGGCTTCTGAGGATCGGGAACCATGAGAACTTCATGATTCATGAGTGCATGTTTCAATCGCTTGAAAGCACCCTCGCACTCGTCACTCCAGTCCCACGGCGTGTCAAGTCGAGTTAGATCTGTCAAAGGAGAGGCGACTGTAGAATAGTTCTTTACGAAGTTCCTATAGTAGCCGCACATTCCTAAGAAAGATCTGACCTCAGTGGCAGTCTGAGGTCGTGGCCAATCTTGAATACTAGCCACCTTCGCATCTTCCGGCCTAATCCCTTCCGCGGATACTTCATGACCCAAGTATAGTATCTTAGTGCGACCGAACTCACACTTCTCTAGATTGACCTTATACTTGTGTTGTCGCAGGAGTGAGAGTACAGTCTCAACGTGCTCTGCATGCTCCTCGGCAGACTTACTAAAGATCAGGATGTCGTCGAGGTATACCACGACAAACTTATCTAAATGGTCATGGAAGATCCGATTCATAGCGTGCTGGAATGTTCCCGGCGCGTTACAAAGGCCAAAGGGCATCACTACAAACTCATACAGACCATAACGAGTCTGAAAAGTTGTCTTGTGTTGGTCCTCAGGTCTTATAGCGATCTGGTGATAGACGGATTTCAAGTCTATTTTACTATACTACTTGCATCCCTGCACCCTATCCAATAGGTCGTCTATGCGAGGTAGAGGCTCTGCGTTCTTCACAGTGATGGCATTGAGGCCTCTATAGTCAATGCACATCCTCAATGTACCCCCCTTCTTTGGTACGAATAGTACTGGCGATCCGTAAGGGGAAGTACTAGGCCGGATCCATCCCTTCTCTGTCAGCTCTTCCAGTTGTCGCCGGAGTTCATCTAACTCGGCGGGAGCCATCCTATAGATCCTCCCCTTTGGGGTTTTACTCCCTGGGATGATTTCTATAGCGTGGACAACTTCCCTTTSTACGACCCCTGTAGGCTCTTCGAACAGATCAGGGAACTTAGCAACGACGCGTTCTATCTCTGGGGGTGTTTTAATGGCCTCCCCTTTCTCAGAGAGATACACTAGGTACATACCTTCCTCTTGGTTTTGCTTATAGTAATTGTAGAACGCTGATGCACACAAGCAGCCATAGGTATCTATAATGTTACTGGCTTTGAACTTAGTCAATCAGACAATTCTGCCATCGGGCAACTTATGTTTGAGCACCTTCTTATCCCAGTCGAACTGGGGCTTAGCAACCTCAAGGTAGTACATGCCTAACAACATGTCAAACGGTAAGTCGTCTTTAACCAGGAACGGAATCTTATGATTAAGTTTCCCTCCTCCTTAGGAGAAGGTACAGACTATATTCGGGATATAGTCTGTGACTATCATGCGCTCCTTGTTGGCCAAAGTAGATGTTACTGGTCTACTAAGGTGTCGTACCCGGTCCTGTAGGTGCAGCCTTTCCAAACAGTCGCGACATATGTAATTCCGCGTGGAACCAATGTCTATGAAGGCACCACATTTGCGGCCTCCTACATCGACTTCCACCACGAAATGTTCCCCTCTAGGACCTTTGTTTAGCGCCACCCAAGACTCGCGAGGGTCCTTGTTTGACCACTCGCTTTCCAGATCTTCTAAGGCTTCAGACACATCTAACGTACAGAGCATAGTTTGGTCTAGATGTGTCTGCGGGGTGACTAAAGAGTTATTAGCTTTGGCCTGCTCATGAAGTGGGGAGGGTATCAGACCCACTTCAACTTGAGTAGAAGCAGCTAAAACTTCCACCGGCCTCACATGTTTCCCGAGCTAGAAGCCTGGGAAGAAGATGCCCCCATCTTAGGAGGTATCTTCTGCGTGACCTTCGCGTTTTGGCACTTGTACTGGGTGTGTCTGTATTCACCACAGTTTATACAAGCGCCACGCACTCGGCGGTCCCGCCACACGTCTTGATCAAGACCTGCCTTGACCCAATCAGCCACTTTGGTCTGATTGGAGGCGGCCTTCCCTTGACTATTTGGTTGGCCCTTCACTCGGCCACCAACCTTAGCCTTGACTACTGCGGCGAGGGTGCTACCCTCAGCGGTCTCCTCGCCGTCGTACTCTGAAACGTCTAGCAGGTCTGTGAGCTCATCAATCTCTGTTTGAGTCCCATCGGACTCAACCATCATCAACTTCGCCCCCTTCTTCTTCCATTCCTGTAGACTCTTCTTCTTCCTCGCATCACTCAGAGAGGGTTGAGCATTTCCTAGAGTGGCCTCCAAATCTAAGGCTTTCCTAGACAATGTCTCAAAGGAGTGATACTCGAGGCGTGCCTCGCTGGCCGGCAAGTTCCTGAGGTTCTCTGGAAGACATCTGACAAATGTAATCAACAGGAAATGGTCACTATAGTTAATGCCTGGAACGACGATAAGGCTCTCTATGGTAGTTGTAAGCTCTCTGACTGACTTAAACTTTCTTTGGTCTAGTCTGTTGATCGCATCAGTGGCTATTTGTGCCTGCTGAGGATTGTGCCAGCGAGCTTCTACCATCTCAAAGAACTGGTCCAAGGTAATAGACTAAGCCCAGTCCGCCATACGTCGTCCATACCCGGCCTTTGAAACTATACCATCTGACCATTTGGCTGCCTTACCCTCAAGGTAAGATGCAGCGGTAATCACCTCCTCCTCTGGCAAGGTCATCTTCGCCTTCACCCAAACTGGGACTGTTCTCAACCAAGTGTTGAGTTCTTCGTCCTTCCTCTTGCCTGAGAAGGCAAGAGGCGGTTTCATTGGGGTCTTAGGGTACCATTGACCTTGTGGTTGTCCCTGTTGAGGAACAAGCTGTTGCGGTGGTGTAGCTCCTACCGCTGGACCCGAAGAAGAAGACACAACATTTTGTGCGGCTGCTGCAGACGTGCCACTTGGTTGTGCGCCAGCTTGAACTGGAAAGGGGCCTGACATCGCCGTTAATGGCCATGGCGATTGTGCTGGTGGCCTAAATCCTGGCCTTGTCTGAATATCCAGGATCTGGTCTAGAGTGCTCTGCATGAAGTCCAATCTCCTGTCCACGTGCGCATGCAACGACAACATATTTTTCTTCTGTACTTTCATCTGGTCAGATAGTCCAGACTCATCCAAGCCCTCTAGTTCAGCTTTGTCAGCCTCTAACGTATAAAGTCTGGCTGTTCTGTTTTTGATCTCTCTTTCTCTGTCGGTAGCTTGTTTCAGTTCCCTCTCTAATTGTTCACGGATCCTTTCGACCTGTTGGAGCTCTCTGAGCTCCCTTTCGCGAGGAGTCAAAGGGCTGAACTACGCACCCGCCATTTGACTTGTAGACTGCCGAGAACCTAACGAACTGGAAGTACCCGTGGACCCTGTTGGCATTCCCAACTGGGTCCCATTGGTCCTAGACAACACAACAGAGGATGCTGTTGAGCTAGTCATGGCTGCTGCCCTGGCTGCTGCTGCAGCCTGTTCCCTAGCTGCGGCGTTTGTTGTTTCCCTAGCTGCTGCTAGCGCACGGGCTCTGCGTTCGACACGAAGCCGTCTTTTGTCTTCCGGTTGTAAGGCCTGGTACACGTACGGGATCCTACGTGATCTCGAACGTGTTAGTCTTGCATCGTCAACTGCTTCCTCATCGATGTCTTACCCGTTCATGAATTAGGCAAACATTATCTGCACTAGAACCCCCTGTTGGAGTCCTACCGCAACATGTGTCTGACCGGCACCTAATTTTCTAAAAATAGTTGTGTCCGACAGGTTCCCTACTTGACCGATCAAATGGCATTCTACAACATTCACAACAGATTGTCAACATAGTCTAAATGTATTTTGAATAGTTCACTTACAACAGCACTAGATAGAACTGGCTATGGTAGTATACAACAGTCCTACTCTAGTCTGTCTGTGAGGTGTTAGCAGTCTGTCCACCAACTAATCAAGAATACAAAAAGACCATGTTGCAGATGTATGAATGGTGGGTATGGTTGTGTATCCAGTTGAGCACCAATTAGAACCTACCCTTCCCCTCAATCCAACATACCGGTAAGCATCATTGAGCAAGCGGTGTCTTCGTGTGTGTGTCGGCCCACCCCTGTGCCCAAGTCGTTGCCGAGCAAGCCAGCCAGTCCACTCTTATTTACCCTCGTACGGAACGAGCCTTACACCTGGTTGATCTGGCTGATCAGGAGGAATATTGAGAGCGCCCCCATCTCTTCAGGAATGATTTAACGTCGCAGTCAGGACGACGATCACAGCCAGAATCAACCAAGTCCCCAACCAGAAATGTTCATAGACGGTCTGGTAAGCGTCTCATAAAAGGCTGGCACACCCGGCAGGACTTCTATTCAGCGCAGCAAGTGCCAAAATGGACAGCAGCCATCGCATGCGTGACCTACTTCCATTGGGTTGGTATGGTGATCGTGACCCAGTGCTTCGACCAGGGCCCAGATGCTTCCGGGAAGATTGTCGTCTCTCAAGGTAGCGCGCTCACGACACCTCACCAAAAGAGAGGACTCTCAAGTTGGACTCACTTCCTCACGGTAAGAAGAGATTGAGAGAGTAGATAAGGTAAGGGAACAACGTACCTGGAGATAGCTGCCCCCAACCACAGATTTCTCACCAATTGAGCTGAGTGTGCATTTGATGTCCAGTCTTGACCTCGGTACCACCCACAACGCAATGCAGTGCCACCTCAGTCGAATGCCACATCAGCATGCTCTCATCACCAATCATACATTCCGCCTGTCACCACGGCATACACTGTCGTCTTAGCCTTCCGGCGCACCCCTCTCTACCCAGGGCGTGCGCCTATGTGGCCTGACGTCACAAGTACCAACTGCGAAGAAGCATCGTCAACGCACCAAGTCTGTATAACGCCAGCGTGCCAAAGGTAAGTGGCGAATCAAACTATCTCCGATACCAAATTGCAAGGAACATGATTATGGACGAAGCACAAAAATCCAGATTGCAAAATCACACTGAAGCCCAAGTAGTCAAAGCCAGAGCAGATAGCACAATGGAACCGAGTAACCATCCATTTGAGAATGATACAGAAGAATCGTGAGTCAATGTCCAAGCCCAACAGGGCAACACCAACAGCATAACCCAATGTAGCTCTCTCTTCTGAATGGCGCCAGGCGCCCTATCTACTCTACAGCCTAAGCCTACAACTACAGCAATGAAAGCAACCAGACAACTTGACTACCAGCGAGTGATGATGTCAACACCAATGCCGACCTCCACCTCCACCAGGTACGTGTCCTCTTCACCCACACTCTCCCTTGTTACCCACACAGCGCCCTTCACCTCCGAAGAACCACCTTCGCCCTCACCTMCCTTGCGCCCTATGCAGCCCGGCTATGGCCGCCAGCGCACAGTGCACAGGCAGCGCCCTACCGCCTAGCGCCTGCCTGCCTTGCACCTCGTCCTAGCGCAGCGCAGCAGCTCGCATTAGTGCAGCGTGCCGGCATTGCCCGCAATGGCCAAGATCCCTGCCCACTCCCCCTGCTTGCCTATATGCCAGTGTTGCGTGTGGGCGGCCTCCTTCCAGCCTGCGTCTGGGCCCCAGTGGCTGAACCCAGGCCCGATACAGTTGAGGCCCGGGGCAATGCAGTTGCGCCTCTTTCAT